TGCAGACACAACTTGTGAGAGCAATAGGGCGAAAGTCCTTAGGGGAAGTACCCAGAGACCCCGGTTTGCGAACAGGGAGGACAACGGCATCGAGCCAGTCCTCAGGGACTGACGACGACTCCCAGATCCGATTATACAGACTCAGTAAATACTGAGACGTGCTCGGAGGGAGATGGCGAAGCATCTCATAATGAATACCATCGGAGCCCGCCGCCGTAGAACCGCAGAGGGCCAGGGCAGAACGAAGTTCAGAGAGAGAGAAGGGATCATTATAGGGAAGCTGAAGATGAGTGCAGAAATCTAAAGGACGAGACTCAAGGACAGGTTTACGAAGAAGGAAAGATTGGGGAAGATGAAGACCAGAGCTAACAGAAGAAAAGTGGGAACCCAGTTCGGAAGCGACCTGCAACGGGTCCGCCACAAGAGTATCATGGAGGTGAAGGACCGGTGAAACATCGGGAACGAACTTACCCGCTATCTTGCGGATACGCTTCCAGATCTGGGCCAGAGGGGTCTCGGACGTAATTGTTGAGACATAAGATGCCCAACATTCACGTTTAGCCGTACGGATGGCCCTACGGGCCACCGCACTCGCTTTCCGAAAGAAAAGAAAAGAATCGGTCGTCTGCCTACGGTGGTGTCTCTTCCAGGCTGCACGCTTACAGCGGACAGCCCGAGCACAGTCCGCATTCCACCAGGGAACGCACTTCCGTGGACCCCGAGAGGAAGAGCGAGGAATAGAGCGGAGGGCAGCGTTGAAGACAGTGTCATGAAAAAGGAGGAGAGCGCGAGAGAGAAGCAGAAGGGAGAGGTCAGGGAGAGCAGCACTGAGGGTAAAGAGGGTCCAGTCTGCCTTAGCAAACTGCCGCCTAGGGAAAGAGAGGGAAGGGCGAAAAGAGAAAAAGGAAACAAGGATGGGGAAATGATCACTTCCATGGAGGTCATCAAGAACCTGCCACGTGAAATCTAAGTAAAGAGAAGAAGAGCAGAGAGAAAGATCAAGACAAGAAAGGGTGCGAGTCCGAGAGTCCAAATGAGTGGGCTCACCAGAATTCAGAAGAGACAGGGAAGAAGAGAGGAGAAACGGCTCAAGGAGGCGACCCCGGGTATTCGTCAGAACGTCACCCCAAAGAGAATGACGACAATTGAAGTCACCCAGCAGGAGCACAGGCTCCGGCAAGGAGTCCAGGAGGTGTTTCAAATCAGGAAGAGAGAGCGGGACACTCGGGGGGAGATAAATGGAACAAACTGTGTACCATTTCCCCACAAAGATACGAGCAGCAGAACAATGGAGAGGCGAAGGAAAAAGTAAAGGAACAAAGGGAACATCAGCCCGAATCAAAAGAGCAGAAGAATTAGAAGCCCCAGCAATGGCTGGGGGGGGGGAGAGAAAGGAATAGCCACGAAAACGACCAGGACGAGCACCAAGCATTGGCTCCTGGAGACAGACACAAAGGGGCGAAAACCGCGAAATCAGAAGTTGGAGTTCGAGGAAATTGGCGTAATAACCTCGAACGTTCCATTGAAGAATGGACAACGACGAGAAGAGAAAGGACAAAAACAGAGAACAATGAAGAAACAAAGGCGAAAGAGCAACAGAGCACGTTAAAGAATATCAGGGTCGGGATCAGGGTCGGCAAAGTCAGGGTTAGGGGGCATGGGTAAACTGAGCAAAGACGGAGGGAAGGAAACGGGAGAACAGAGCAGAGGTGGGCGGGCAGGGTCTGGAGGAGGAGGAGGAGGAGGAGGAAGAGGAGGAGACAACGGAGAGGAGCAGTCAAGGACAGCAGCAGGAGGAGGGGGAGTAGAAAGAGGGGAGCGCACCCCAGCAAGAGCAGCAACCGAAAGGGAAGCGGGGGCCAAAGAAACCTCCATAGCAGGAACAGGGGGCGCAAGCACTGAAACGGGAGGGGAAGGAGCAACAGAGCCAGAAGGAGGAGCTGAGGAAGAAAGCGAAGCCTTCTTACCCGCCGGGGAAGAGGAAGGAGAGGAGCCAGGCTTACGCTTCTGACTTAAAGAGACCGGTGTCCCAGCAACTACGTACCGGGCAACGGATTCCAGTGTCTCAACAGGAGAAGCCGAACGAGAGCACACACGACGGCCGTTAGGAGAGCGATGGACATCCGCCCGCACCGACAGGCGGTGGGGAGAGCCAATAGATGGAGGAAGAGGATGGGAAGGAGGATCGGAGGGGGACGAGGAAGAAGACACAGAAGACACGACAGACCGGGTAGAAGGAAGGGGAACCCCAGACAGAGGACCAGGAGGAGGATCCTTCGGGAGAGAACCCAAAGGAACAGAGGAGGGGGCAGTGGGCGCATCAGGGTCCAAGGCCCGGAAACGGTTGTGAGTCTGAGGAAGGCGGGAAGGACGAGGAGAGGAAGAGCGCAACATGCGAGCATAAGAGATATTAGCATAAGGCGGGAGCCGGCAAACCTGGCGTCTCGCCTCAGGAAAAGATAAACGCTCCCGGTGCTTCAAGTTGAGGACGGCTGCCTCAAGCTTGTAATGGACACACGCACGGGAGAAGGTAGGATGGGCCTCACCGCAGTTGAGGCAACGAGCCTGGGGAGAAGTGCACTCCGACTTAGAGTGACCTTCGCCACCACACAAAGGACAGAGAGAGACAGTCCCGGAGCAGCGGAGGGCACCATGCCCAAACCTCCAGCACTTGTTGCAGAGCCGAGGAGAAGGAATGTACTCCTGGACCGAGCACCTGGCACCAGCAAGAATGACAGAGGGTGGAAGGGTCCTACCATCAAAGGTAATCTTCACAACCCGGAGGGGTTGACGGCGACTACCACGAGGGGGACGAGTAAACGTGTCCACCTGGAGAATAGAATAGCCCTGGGCAGCGAGGATATGTCGAATATCGTCGTGGCAGTCGCGCAGGTCCCGAACACCGGTCGCAACATGGGGCGGGAGCAAAATAGTGCCAACACTGGCATTCAACTGAGCGTTCTTCGAGACCCGAACGGGGGTCTCGCCAAGGCAGGATAAGGCAGCCAAGCGGGAAGCAGCATCCTGAGAAGGAGCAGCAACGACACGTGTACCGAGACGAGTGGGGTTGAAAGTAATGGAGGCATCCACGGAATCAATGAGATGTTGATGAAGGGAGAAATCGTCAGGAGGCGCAGAATCAAGAGGGAGGAGATCAAAATATTTGGCCCACGAAGCGGGACCAAACAAGGCTTGATAGGTAGCAGAACTGGAAGGAATCGAGCGAGGGCGGCCATGACGAGGACGGCGGTGAGAACCCCCAGAGAGAGAGGGGTTAAAAGGCGCAGTAGTTACAACTAGAGAAGGAGCCACGCCAGGGGACGAGGTAGTCACCACTGGGGGCTTGGGGCTCGACCCAACCACAGAGGAGGGAGGGGAGCCAGGGGAAGGAGTCAGAGAGGCCAAAGGAGGAGCAAGGTCGGGGGCCCAATGCAGCGGAGGCTACAGAGCCCGGTCTTCCAATACGGACCGACTCGGGGGCTTGGTCGCCCACCCCACGAGCCTGAGAAGGTAAGCCAGGAGCCGAAGCAGGGGTTATCATCTTGACGAAATGAAGAATTCACTCACGAATGTGCCCCCACACCCACCATGGAGCCACAATTAGAGGCAGGACATCCAACAAGAAGCTATCGCCGATCTTGTCGGGGCCTCCTAGGGGTGCGTCGTGAGTATACGCCCCACAAACGCCACCTTAAGAAACCGACAGTCCGTCGAGATCGGGTTCAGTGACGAAGTGGGGATTGACAATAAAAGGTTCCCCTCGCTCTCGACGTCGGGTACTGCAGTCCTACGGGTGCAAGAGTATGCCTCCTCATGCACCCGGGCGTCAAAATAGAAGAAGTCCATGGAAGAACCAGAACGAGTAAAAGGTCAGCAGGAAACGGCAAGCAGATAGGAGAAGAGGGGGGCGAAAAATGAAACAGAAGGAAAAGGAAAAGATGCCCAGCAAAATCGGAGAGGACGGCAGCAGGAGCACAAGGCTAGAAAAGGACAGAGGACTGTCCCAAGGAGCATCACACTCCGGCAGCCGCCCACTAAGCCCCCACACGGCGACAACGAGCTGAGCGGGGAGGGGGAGGAGGAGAGGAGTTACTGTTTGGAAGGGGAGTCCCCTTCCATTATCACATCAGGCAGTGAAGACCTTTCTGGTGTGCTCTCCCTGGCACGTTTTATCTGAGTGCCACTAGGTCCTGGTTGAGGCTCACTGCTCGATTTCCTCACCACAAATCTGTCCAAACCCTGGCTTTCTCACAAATAATGGCCTCCGAAACACGGTCACCCCTTAACTCCTTGTCGTGTATCCAAATTAATAACAACTTTTCCACTTCTTCAAGTATTTGTGGTCTTTGTTTCGTTATTGTTCTGACTCCTTTTGCCACTTTAGCACCCATAATCTCATTTTTCTTCTTAAGTATAGTGCATATTGTTGATGTGGCTTTGTTGTACTGCCTACAAAGTTCAACAACACGTGTACCGTTCTCATGCTTCCGAATGATCTCTTGTTTCTCCTCTATTGCCATCCTCACATGGGCTTTCTGGCAATATCCTTACCACTGGCTTTCTTGGGACCCATGGTGAGATATATAATAACAAATTGTATAGTCAAATCACCAAAAATCCAACAAAACTCTGAAAATCCGCGAGAAGAATTTATGTGGGGTAGTCACTGGGCGCGAGACAATGGTAAACTGAGGGGCGGAGGGGTGGAGGGGCGACGATCGCTGAACCACCACGCGCCGGGTCGGCCTGTACGCGTATCAACAAACTCGTGTCCCGAGGTAACCCTCGCGTTCAGAGACATATTTTTCGAGGAAATGCTGCTCGTATTCCGAAAAACTCGCATACAGGGACACTCGCATTCCGAGGTACCACTGAACCTGGGATTTAGACTGCTGCTACGGGCTGCTTCCTGGTGATGTGTAACAAAAAAGGAGGCCTAGTCGAGGACCGGGCACGGGGGTGCTAAGCCCCGAAATTATCTCAAGTCAAGTCAAACCAAATTTTTATTTTATTTTTATTTATGGTTACAACATTTTTTTTGTGACAGAATATACTACTTCACGGCAAGTGAAAGATATTAGCCATTCTGAAATGGTCGAGGATTAAACAAATGTAACCCATGGCAAGCACAAAGTGAACCTATATAGTACTAACAAGAGCACAACAAATCATAATGGATACAAGGCAGATTTTTAGACTTTAAAAGCATGTGCTACAGAGATTTCAAAATACTGGACCAGAACATTAGTAATCACAGAAACTAATAAGTTACTCTTTCACCCTAAAGTGGAATACCTCGGCCTAAAACCCTTCAATAATGGCTCGTCTCATGTGAACAATTCCTGTGCAAGTCACGGGTTGCAACACACACACACATTTTAATTTGTGCAGTGCCAGTTGAATACCGAGGTACTCACTAGTGTCATGGTGTTGTCCAGCAGTCACTGAAGACCACCGCTTCCCACTTTACATACCTCTACCACAGTGATGAGAGGTACATGTGCTTCCCACTTTAAATACCTCTACCACAGTGATGAGAGGTACATGTGCTTCCCACTTTACATACCTCTACCACAGTGATGAGAGGTACATGTGCTTCCCACTTTACATACCTCTACCACAGTGATGAGAGGTACATGTGCTTCCCACTTTACATACCTCTACCACAGTGATGAGAGGTACATGTGCTTCCCACTCTAGCCTCTCATATCATGAAAACTACAGTACTATAGTGCCAAAATAAAATCTCAAGAGTGAAATCACACCCTTCATTAGGCCTAGACACGGGTAGATACAGTAATGTACTGTCATTTTGTGTTCTTCATTTTAAATCTCTCTTATTTCATATGAATAAAATTGTTGTATGCATTGAATAGAAGATCACGTGATGATCCACCATGTAGACATCACTAGGACAATAGGGAGTTGCACTATTTTTGTATATTTCCATTTCCACACAGATATATGATTTCATAAGAACAATAATTTAAATAATTTGTTTGTGCATTCAGTGGACACCAAGCATGACCATTCCCATAGTTTAAAAATTAGGTGAGTGGTTTTTATTGTCATTAGAAAAGATCTAAACATAGCTAAATACTGTTACATGTAACTTAAAAAAACAAACAGGGAAAATAGCCACTACTGCTACAGTTCCACATACAGTATTCAGCTGGAATTTTAGTGCCTTGCAATACAGAGTTTCCCTTTTCTAGTTCCAACACTGTCTAGTGATACACTTTTTGTTGTTTCTTTTTCAGTGACTAATGAAGGAACTTTCCCTCAACCTTCCAACAACTTCTTTTTAAATGGTGGTTCAGAATTGGAGTCTTCCGAGATGTTGAATTGGGTGGACGAGAAGTCGGTGGCATCCTGCGAGTCGCTCATCATCGACATGGCTGAGAATAAAAAATGAAAAGTACATGAACTTCTAGCTCAACCCTGTCCACTTCCAAGCATAATGGGATAAACTGGGTTTCTAACATTTCAGATACAGTGTATTATATATCTTAGAATATAAATCTGCAGAAATCTTAAATGTTTTTAATTTCATCATTGTTAGGGTATTTTAACCAAGATACTCATACAAGAGAAGATCAAAGAATATAAGTTTCCCGATTTTTGTCCTCTGTGGGTAGTTAGCTTCAGGGAGACGACAGGGGCTCTTCACCAATAACCAGCATCAAATGTAATGAAATGCCAGTTACAAGTCTGTATAATATACAATTTGTATAATATACAAATCTAATATACTGTACTGCATATGTAATCTTTCTTTTATTGCACGAGTACCCTTTTATGGAAACTGGTTCAACTGCAACATTTGCAGTTTTGCACAATATGGTCCACGGTAAAACCAGCAATGGTAATTTTCTGTGGTGTCCCCCTTTTCCCTTGATGCGCTAAGCCTGCTCTTATTTTGAGTTAGGGGGGTTACTCCAGCCCTGGTCATAACAATAAACATTATAATCAGTGTTAAAAATACCTAACCAATCTGACTAACCTACCACCCACTTACCTAATTGTGTCTGACATATGTGGTATACAAGTCCTCAATGATTCCTTATTCAGATTTCTAAAGGCAAATCTTATATTAACAATGCTGCACGAGGGCCAAAAGGACTAGTGGCAGGCAAATTCATTTTCAATTTCATACTGTACCTGTATTGGAATCATCCCCTCCCATCTGAAATGCTGACATGCTGCTGTCTCGGCTGCACATACGATTTTCTTTGTTTGCGCTGCTTCCACTCTTCTTCTTTCGTTCCTGGCAAAATAAAAAATCATATGAAAACCAGGTAGCACTGACAATAAAAACACAAGATAGAGAGAATATGAGTTTGGCTGTCTAGTCATGCTTAACCAAGTTATGTTGCCACAGTGATGCCATAGTGAAGACAGAGTACGGAGAGAAGATGTGATTATAAAATAATTAGATACAGGAACGAAAAATGATAGGTAGTACGGAAGAGGACTAACGAGTCTTATAAAGGACACTGGAGGTAAGCTTCACCGGAAGTCGACAGACGTTCCAATAATCTTTTAAGTATCGAAGATCTTCTCGAACCTTGATATTCAAGCACAAAACCACTGAGCCTCATACGGGCCTATTGGCATCCGTGACCAATGGTCGTGCAGGATCCCGATAATATTTAAACATGATTGCGACATGACATAGAAGAATACATGTCCTAGATAAGAATGGCGAGAAAGTGGTTAAAAACACCCACAGGAAGGACAAAATCGATGGACCCGAAGGAACACGGAACCGAACCCAGGGAGGGGCCGACGCCCAAACTAACTTGAACGCAGAGGGGGGGAAAGGAAAACCCCCACTCCTTGTAACAGAAAGCCCTGCTCTGAGGGCTGGTGGGTGTGGCATGGGTTTTGTCGGACTCTCACGCTCGAATGGCAGGAGGCTGCTACCGTTCTGCAGGTTTACTTGGGGGATGATTTTGAGTGCCTTAATGCGTCTCTGTTCTTTGCCAGTTGCCACGTGACATGGTGGAGGTGGGATCCCTCGATTATTCAAACATGGGTTGGACATGTATATGAGTGGGATTGGGTGGTTATAAATAGGAGCTGCCTCATATGGGCCAATGGGCTTTCTGCAGTTACCTTTGTTCTTATGGTCTTACCCCTGAAGAAAAGGCAGTAAAAAAGGGGGTCTGCTGGTAGGACCCAGAAGTCTCAACAGGAAGAGCAGGCTCAAATGCTCGAATGCCTCCATCTCGAATGGGGTAGCCATGGAAGCCACCCGAGTCTGATCTCCAACTAAATCCCGCCTTGACTCCGAAACCCTCAGATGTTTGGGAGCTGAGCAAAAGCCGCCAACTGGGGCAAGCCTTGCAGGCATCGACTGAACCAGAGTCGAAGCGACCAACACCCCAAAGTCTGGGTCCCTAAAACCAAAACGGGACAGCCCTGGGGCATCCGAGCTGGCAACCAACCCAGCGTGTTGCAGCAACCTGAACCTAACATGCAACACGGAAGCTGCCTGAACCCTAATCTCAGTTACAGTAAAATGGATAAGCTGGAGCAAAAGCAGAGAACACGTCTCGCAAGACTCCAGGTCAAGGACACAGTACAACCTTCAAACTCTCACAAGGTGAAATGGGACTCAGAAGATGCATCCATTGGTCAACCAAACTCCAACAGGGTTTTCCAGGGCCCGTAGGGGGGTTTGCCTATGGGAAGCCTAGGCAAGGTGCTGCTAAGCCAGTGGAACCCGAATGTTAACAAAGAGGGAATGGGCTATATGCTGGATCCCTGCGACATGTACAAGCATGGGGGCATAAAGGAGGACCACCAACATACTGTAGGTTGACTAATAGTCAAACAAGGCAGACCCTCTCCTGGCAAGGAAAATATAAATAAAATAAAAACCCTGCAAAAGTACAATGCTACCAGAAATAACAGGAACACGGCCGCTGTGTAGGTAAGTATGTAACGCAGCACCCTGCGCCCCAACCAGCAACAACACCACTTCCTACCCAAGGCCAAACAAAAGCCACGAAAGACCAGCTGGCCTCAAGGGCGGGGTAAATGCCGAGCAGCAAGAATCTACACGGAAGTGGAGTCCCGAAGACACTAAGGAAGGCAATCCTAGAACCCAAGGGTAGTATTTACAGGATGCTTAAGGAAGGCAGCCCTAAGTGCATGCAGTCCCAGTACACTATGTTACTCCTGGTCAACGTGCCACAAACTGAAGGAAACGCCACAAGGACACAAATACAGTGGTACCTCGGAATATGAGTGGCCCTGTATACGAGTTTTTCGGAATACGAGCAGGATTTGCTTGGAAAAGTTGCCTCGGAAGGCGCGGGTGTTGATACGCGTACAGGCCGACCTAGCTCGTGGTGGTACAGCGATCGCCCCTCAGTTTACCAGTGCCTCGTGCCCTGTGACTATCCCACCTCAATTCTTCACCAGGATTTTCAGTGTTTTGTTGGATTTTTGGTCATTTAACCATCAAAGTTGTTATTATATATCTCACCATGGGTCCCAAGAAAGCCAGTAGTAAGGATCAAGGCAAGAAAGTGCATGTGAGGATGATAGTAGAGGAAAAACAAGAGATCATTCGGAAGCATGAAAATGGTACACGTGTTGTTGAACTTTGTAGGCAGTACAACAAAGCCACATCAACAATATGCACTATACTCGGCAAGAAAAAGGACATTATGAGTGCTAAAGTGGCAAAAGGCATAAGAACAATCATGAAACAAAGACCACAAATACTTGAGGAAGTGAAAAAGTTATTATTAATTTGGATACACAACAAGGAGTTAGCGGGTGATAGTGTTTCAGAGGCCATCATTTGTGAGAAAGTCAAGGTATTGCACGAAGACCTTGTAAAGAAAACCCCTGGAACGAGTGCAGATACGATAGACTTTAACCCTTAAACTGCGCAACGACAAGAAGCCAGTGGCTTGTCAAACATTCCCATATTATTCCCAGTGCTTTCTTAGTCATGCTTCCAGCTCTATAATACACCTACAAACACTTCAAGCATCAACAAAACCATATTTATCACTGCAACATGTGACTTTCTTGGTTTAATTTACAGCATTAGAAAACAATGATTTGCATTTAAGCAAATCATTGTTTTGTTTTAGAAAACAATTATTTGCATTTAAGATAATTGTACTTACATCTGTGACAATAGGAACCCACTTGTAGATCTTCATTGTAGTATCATGAATGGTTATCCACTTCTTCTCCCTAAAAAGATATCAATTGAAATGAAGTAAAATCAAACAAAACTATAGGAACTTTAATAAGCAATACAATGAATAAGATTTACATTAGTTGCCCATGAAAATTTTTCAGTATACTAGTATATAAAGCTATGGCACAAGATTATAATGATTGTTCACTTAGTGCAGCAATGACATTCTGATGGTTCTCCATCATATATGGAGCCAGTATGTCGTAACTTCAACACCTACCACTATGGTGCAAATAACCTGCCATTATCTAGGATAATTTGGGGTTGCAGGTTGGACTGGGGGTTCCATTTTCTCTATTCTCTCCAAACGTATAGCAAAGCATTCTCCCACCCTATGAAAGTGGTTAATTGTTTAAAGATAATATTGAGTACAGTATATCTACCTAAGCAAGCTAATCTTTTTAAAAATAAGTTGGATTTGCTTTTATGATAATTAATTTATTTAACATTACTCAAATATTTTATTCCAAAAAGTGTGTAATGCCCCACAAAATTTCCTGTAGACAACAGATTTTTTGAACTGTAATGAAATTTCTAGAAGTTGAAATCTCTAGAGAGGTTACAACTACACGCTTGTGCTCTATTGGTATCTCGACTTATTCTTTTGGTATTCTAAATATTACTACTGCATGACTTAGGGTTGGCTAAAACAACTTCGGGAAAGTTTCCACCACCTGATGACAAACATTTGACAAGTGTAAATTTTGTCAGCAAAACCATTCGCAGACATCACCAAATATTTGAATGTGAAAAAAATTCAAGAAAATAGACGGCTGTATTACTAATGTTTAAGAAAGTTTTAAGTACAGTATTTATACTCTATTAGCTCGCCAGTCCGGACTACATGGGAAGGACCCTTGTCTGGATGGGCCCGTCATCCAGAGTAAAGGACGTTTTACCGGGAGAAGTCCAAAAGTGACGAACATTTCCAACCTTTTTTTGTACCACAACCATCATCATTTATGTTTCCACACACTATAATTAGTGAGGGACTAGATGGGTGGTTAGCTGCCTGGCTAGTAGGTGGGCAGGGCTAGTAGGTGGGCAGGGCAAGTAGGTGGGCAGGGCAAGTAGGTGGGCAGGGCAAGTAGGTGGGCAGGGCAAGTAGGTGGGCAGGGCAAGTAGGTGGGAAGGGCTAGTAGGCGGGCAGGGCTAGTAGGTGGGCAGGGCAAGTAGGTGGGCAGGGCAAGTAGGTGGGAAGGGCTAGTAGGCGGGCAGGGCTAGTAGGCGGGCAGGGCTAGTAGGCGGGCAGGGCTAGTAGGTGGGCAGGGAAAGTAGGTGGACAGGGCAAGTAGGTGGGCAGGGCTAGTAGGCGGGCAGGGCTAGTAGGCGGGCAGGGCAAGTAGGTGGGCAGGGCAAGTAGGCGGGCAGGGCAAGTAGGTGGGAAGGGCTAGTAGGCGGGCAGGGCAAGTAGGTGGGAAGGGCTAGTAGGCGGGCAGGGCAAGTAGGTGGGAAGGGCTAGTAGGCGGGAAGCGCAAGTAGGAGGGCAGGGCAAGTAGGTGGGCAGGGCAAATAGGTGGGCAGGGCAAGTAGGTGGGAAGGGCAAGTAGGTGGGCAGGGCAAGTAGGAAGGCAGGGCAAGTAGGAAGGCAGGGCAAGTAGGAAGGCAGGGCAAGTAGGTGGGAAGGGCAAGTAGGTGGGCAGGGCAAGTAGGTGGGAAGGGCAAGTAGGTGGGAAGGGCAAGTAGGTGGGCAGGGCAAGTAGGAGGGCAGGGCAAGTAGGTGGGCAGGGCAAGTAGGAGGGCAGGGCAAGTAGGTGGGCAGGGCAAGAAGGCTGGCAGGGCAAGTAGGCGGGCAGGGCAAGTAGGCGGGCAGGGCAAGTAGGCGGGCAGGGCAAGTAGGCGGGCAGGGCAAGTAGGCGGGCAGGGCAAGTAGGCGGGCAGGGGCAAGTAGGCGGGCAGGGCTAGTAGGTTGGCAGGGCAAGTAGGCGGGCAGGGCAAGTAGGCGGGCAGGGCAAGTAGGCTTGCAGGGCAAGTAGGCTTGCAGGGCAAGTAGGCTTGCAGGGCAAGTAGGCGGGCAGGGCAAGTAGGCGGGCAGGGCAAGTAGGCGGGCAGGGCAAGTAGGCGGGCAGGGCAAGTAGGCGGGCAGGGTAAGTAGGCGGGCAGGGCAAGTAGGTGGGCAGGGCTAGTAGGTGGGCAGGGCTAGTAGGTGGGCAGGGCAAGAAGGCGGGCAGGGCAAGAAGGCGGGCAGGGCAAGTAGGCGGGCAGGGCAAGTAGGTGGGCAGGGCAAGTAGGTGGGCAGGGCTAGTAGGCGGGCAGGTCTATTCTATAAATTCATAAACAACAAATTTCAGGTAAAGGATAATATTCAGAGGTTGAAAATGGGAAATAGATTCACGGAAAATGAAAAGGAAATGTGGAAACATTAAACAAAAAGTTCCAAAGTGTGTTTGTACAAAATTAAATCTTCAGGGAACCAGATACAATAAGAATTCCAGAGAACAGCATAGAGCACATAGAGGTGTCTAGAGACGAAGTGGAAAAAATGCTCAAGGAACTAAGAAAGAACAAAGCAGTTGGTCCAGATGGAGTTTCACCATGGGTTCTGAGAGAATGTACACCTGAGCTCAGCATTCCACTTCAACTGATTTTTCAGGCATCCCTGTTTACAGGAGTTGTAGCTGATGTGTGGAAAAAGGCTAACATAGTTCCAATCTACAAAAGTGGCAGCAGGGAAGATCCCCTTAATTATAGACCGGTGGTATCATTGACAAGTGTAAGTCAAAATATTGGAAAAAATAATTAAAACTAAATGGGTAGAACACCTGGAGAGAAATTATATAATATCAGACAGACAGTATGGTTTTCGATCTGGAAGATCCTGTGTAACGAATTTACTCAGTTTCTATGATCGAGCCACAGAGATTTTACAGGAAAGAGATGGTTGGGTTGACTGCATTTATCTGGACCTAAAAAAAGGCTTTCGACAGAGTTGCACATAAGAGGTTGTTCTGGAAACTGGAAAATATTGGAGGAGTGACAGGTAAGCCTCTAACATGGATGAAAAATTTTCTGACTGATAGAAAAATGAGGGCAGTAATCAAAGGCAAGGTATCAGATTGGAGGAATGTCACAAGTGGAGTACCACAGGGTTCAGTTCTTGCACCGGTAATGTTCATTGTCAACATAAACGATCTGCCAGATAGAATACAGAACTATATGAACATGTTTGCTGATGATGCTAAGATAATAGGGAGGATAAGAAAGCTGCAAACGAACAAAAAGATTAAAGAAAGATTCATGGAATGATGTGAAGACTGTAAACTGAGAGGAAGAAAGATATGCAAGAATGTAGGCCAGAGACCAAGCAGGCTCAGGCACCACAGTATTAGATCACTAGATGGTGTACATTATAAAATGTGGTGTCTAGTACATAGGCCCAGTGCCAGTGTAACACACGGGCATACCAGGTAGTTGCCCAAGTGCCCCACAATTCTATGGGCCCTATGCTACCATATTATTCATGAGAGATATTGTGACAGAGTGGATAATTACTGTATATCTCACTGGAAAGATCTGGGATTCAAATCTGTTTCAAATTATATTCATAATACTGTATAAATAATTTATGTATTACTATGTGACAGTAATCCTGCACCTTTGTGGGCAGGAGGCCCATCATCTGGGTGGGGGCACTAGTGCATTGCCTACAGTGGCTTTCAATGCCGTTATTGATAGAGCACAGATAATTGAACTAGCAATTTAGCCAATGACACAGTCAAGTACTCTGTGCATGTTGACATAAAAGGAGCTTTCGATAAGCACAAGGGAATGCAATCCTACATGAACTTGCAAGCATGGGTGTCAATCTTGAGGTTATCTTGAGAGGATTTGGGGGCTTAGCGTTCCCGCTGCCTGGTCCTCGACCAGGCCTCTTTTTTGTTACACACCCCAAGGAAGCAGCCCGTAGCAGCTGTCTAACACCAAGGTACCTATTTACTGCTAGGCGACAGGGGCATCAGGGTGAAAAACATTTTGCCCATTTGTCTCCGCCTCCACCGGGGATCGAACCCGGAACCTCAGGACTACGAATCCGAAGCACTGTCCACTCAGCTGTCAGGTGCCCTGACATATTTCTGGCATCAAGGGAATATTCCTGAAATGGACTATTGAATGAAATGGATTCTCACAGGAAGGAAAGCCAAAGTCACCTTTGACGGAGGAATTTCAAAATTAAAGTATATGGAGCTTGAAACCCTTCAAGGAGGAGTCTTGAACTCCACACTATTCAAAATATTGAAAATAATTTTGAGGCAATGGCCACTGGGGGCACTGAAGGAGACCATATTGAATACTTCATCCACAAAACGCTTTTATAAATTAGAGCACCATCACACATCACTGATAAGATAGTCGAGGAAAGGAGGCTGGAAGAGCAATCCAGTGAATCTGCACACTGGTACACTGCCACCGCAGCCGACAACCTCATTCAGTACGGACGAAAAGTGGCTGAAGGGGGAATCTGTAATTGCAAGAATTCGTCCTGGTACCCATGGAGACTCGGGATGGAAACAACAGCTTAGGAGCAATGTTGAAGAATATGCAGCACGAGTAAAGGACATTGTCTGGACCACTACCCGAGAAATTGTAGCCATATTGTCCTTAAAAGGTTTCTCAACTCTGCACACTTCATACCAATACCACCACCCTCAAAATAACGTAAATTTGAAGGCTTGTAAGATGTTACTCCCCTGTTTGACAGTTTGTTCACTTGAGACAGTTAAGCAAGTCCCAGCTGTGTCTGGGTACAAGTGACAGGATGAACAACCCAGCGGGTTTTCTTCCTATTGGGGAGTGTTGTACATGCTGCTATGGCGGTGTGTCCACTCACAGGATGAGTGACGCTGCCCAATAACTCGCCCCTCGGGGCAAAATATGAATGTAACAGGCGTAATTAGGTGATAGCTGAAGCTCCCTGCTGTACAAGTGTCTCACCATCTGCGGACTTTATCCAAGGCTTGCATGGAGCGCTTCGTCTCCTCCTTGCCCCTAGACCGCGTCTCCGCCCTCAGCGACCTCGACATCATCTCTAATTCTTGCCCTGCCCGCGGTTGAGGTCGCAGCTGTCCAGTAGGTCCGGCTGTGTGCAGCTGTAGCCTGTAATATCGGCCTCTTAGAGCTTGACGAGTCCTGCCGTCCGCCGCTGACAGCTGCCTCTTGCTTGTCCCATGTAAACAACTCCTGTTCAAAATCTCTATTTCAGTCTCTAAATAAATCACTGTGATTTATATATTTCTGTGCTCATTTATTTCCGTGTTTATTTATTTATTTATTTATTTATTTACTAGAAGGTACGATGGGTTTGTGAGATTTTATAATAGTGGTATTATTTTTCGTTCGTTCAAACGCCACTAATATTTTAAAGCGTTTTCAGGCAGGATACCTATTTATTTGACCCTCTTGATGCATTTTAGTCTTTTCCACTTGAATGTATATTTTTGAATTAGTGTTTATCTTCACTTTCGTCAGGAATGAGACAATTTTCGTTGTTCAAGATTAAGAGACCGCGATATTTTTGTGTCATAATTCATTACATCGGGGATAAATGGAATGCTATATTTTTCTAAAATATGTAGATTTTAAGCAAAATATAACAACGGATATATTAGGCATATATCATCTAATGAAGGGGATAATATGTTATTTTGATATTTTATGTTTGGTTAGCCTTGAGATCCCTGTCGGCGGAAGGTAAACAAGCAGACGCCTCACGTTGCACACGCTCCTCGACCCTCTGGCTGTCCATCGCCACTATCCACGCTCCGTGCTCCTTGACCCTCTGGCTGTCCATCGCCACTATCCACGCTCCGTGCTCCTTGACCCTCTGGCTGTCCGCCGTCACTATCCATGCTCCGTGTTCCTTGACCCTCTGGCTGTCCGCCGTCACTATCCATGCTCCGTGCTCCTTGACCCTCTGGCTGCGCACCGTCACCCACACCACCACCATCCACGCTCCGTGGTCCTGTTCATCAACCCTCTCCCTGCCCACCGCCACCATCCTAGTCATCCAGAGCTCTGGACCTTCCCCACACCTTAGTCTAGCATCGCCAAGTATCAGGGATCTGCTTAACATCAGCCACCACCTTCGTTACACCATCTACCAGCGGGGTACAGTCAAATCGTCAAGTCGTTTAGGTAAAGCTCTTTTTTGCTGTTTTAGATTCAGCTAATTTGAACAAAAAGTTCCGAGTATCCAAGTACTTACTAATTGTGCTTGCGGTTGTGTTGCAACTGCAACACTCCCCAATAGGAAGAAAACCTGCTGGGTTGTTCATCATGTCACTCGTACCCAGACACAACTGGGACTTGTAGTACGTGCTATGGTGTAGTATAGGCTATGGTGAGCCCATAGTGGACTTACCTGGCACAGGAGCGGGGCTGTAACTGTTCTCCCTCTCTTTTTCCTAATTATTAAAACTTATATATTGTTTGGTTGGGCTGGGTTATTTGGGAGTTCATCTGGAGCACTATTTGCTGGTTCCTGTTATGCTAAGTAGCATTTGGAGAAACTTTGTTCTAACAAAGTTTTTCTGGAGGTAATTCCTAGATGTATGAAAATTCTCTGGTCTTCCTATCACCAGTATGGCCAAATACAGATGTTTGAAAGGATCCTGCCTGCATGCACCACTAATGTGCAGAACCTGTTCCAGATCCTTGCCGAGGGTCTAGTAAACGCTTGCCATGGTGACCAAACGAGTGCAGTACCTTAGAATAGTTTATGATATGTGTCATTAGGGTTATTTCTACTATTGTGATAGTTATAGTTACTGTATACAGCTAACACACCTGCTCTATAATTTTAATGTTATGGGTTATAGTAGTGTACTCTATAGCATGCTTAAAACTGTTAAGCATAGTACAATAGTAACAAGTGCTGTAACAGTATATGTTACAGTGCTGTAACAGTATATGTTACAGTGCTGTAACAGTATATGTTACAGTGCTGTAACAGTATATGTTACAGTGCTGTAACAGTATATGTTACAGTGCTGTAACAGTATATGTTACAGTGCTGTAACAGTATATGTTACAGTGCTGTAACAGTATATGTTACAGTGCTGTAACAGTATATGTTACAGTGCTGTAACAGTATATGTTACAGCACTTATACTTCCTAATAAATCATTCTTCTTTGTGCAGGTAAAAAAGCCTTAAAATGAATAGTGTTGGAGAGGAGTGTCTTGAGCTGAAGCAGACCTATGACAGCTGCTTTAACAAGTGGTTTGCTGAGAAGTTTTTGAAAGGCTTAGCTGAGGAGGACAAAGACTGCAGTAAAATATTTAGTAATTACCAGTCCTGTGTTAAGGTGAGAATTTAACGATGCTTGCATTAGTCATAACTTATTGGCCGTTTTCAATAACACATTTTGCATCTGTATCATTTTTATAATAATAATAATAATAATAATGAAAATCCATAGGAGCCATGTTGACGATTCGAATCATTGTGTTCTGTGTTCCCAGGCACGCGCTCTGGACCCAGCCCAGCGCATAGGTTCGAACCCTCATCACGGCTCCTACGGATTTTCTCATTGATGCAGTCACATTAGTGTGATTACTCTGTTTAATTCTTACACTGCTACAGCCTGGGCTGTAAATGGGGGTATAAGCTAGAGCTGGGTGAAAATATATTTGAATTACAGTGGTACCTCAGGTTACTAACGTCCTTGTTACGAACTTTTCGGATTACGAGCCCGATTTGTTTGGAAAATTTGAATCAGGACTTTGTATCAGGATACGAGTTTGTTGATACTGTACTCGTACGGCCGACCTAGCACGTGGTGGCACGACGATCGCGCCTCAGTTTACCAGTGCCTCGCGCCCAGTGACTATCCCGCCTGAATTCTTCACAAGAATTTACAGTTTTTTGTCGGAGTTTTGCCCATTTGACAATAAAAGTTATTTATTATTATATATCTCGCCATGGGTCCCAAGAAAGCCAGTGGTAAGGTTCAAGGCAAAAATTCACATGTGAGAATGACCATAGAGGAAAAACAAGAGATCATTCGTAAGCATGAAAATGATACTAGTGTTGTTGAACGAGCTAGGCAGTACAACAAATCTTCAGGGGAGGAAGAGGAGGCAGTAGAGAATGTCCCTTCCTCATTAATTAAGAAAATGTGTGCAGTATGGGAAGGACTGCAAAGTTAGTAGGCCGTTGCATTGATCTTTTTAATGACAATGTGATGCCTCACTACAGACAAGTGTTGCAAAGAAGGGAAAAACAATCTTCAATGGAACGTTTCCTTGTGAGAAAAGTGAGAAAATCAAGCAGTGAGCCACAACCAGGACCTAGTGGTATGCAGGCAAAACGTGCTAGAGAGTGCACTTCAGAGAAATCTTAACTGCCTGATGTTATAATGGAAGGGGACTCCCCTTCCAAACAGTAACACCTCTCCTCCCCCCCCTCCTCACCATCTTCCATACGCCAACAGGAGTCATCAGCAAGGGTAAGTAATAACTTGAACATACTTTTGTAATGAAGATTTGGGTGAATTAGGTATAAAATTGACTTCGAAGTGAAGTTTTTTGGGAGTCAGGAACAGATTAATTCATTTTCCATTATTTCTTATGGGGAAATTTGCTTCGGTTTACAAATTTTCAGGTTACGAACCGTCTTGAGGAACGGACTAAATTCTTAAACCGAGCTACCCCTGTATGTGAAAATTAATATTAAATGTTAAACAAATCTCCAACTTATTGGCTTCAGCGTCTTGAAAGTTTCATCCCAATATTTTCAGAAATGGATTTTAGACAATTTTTTTTTAAAAGAACGTTCTGTTGATAAGGATAACAGCTGCTATTAACTGGAACTGAGGGATAATGCAGTAATAAGAGATGTGAGCACCTGTCCGATGCACAAAGAAGAATAGTAGTTAGAAGTGTCCACAAAGTTGATATGCAGCTGGTGACTTTATAGCATTGCTGAGTAATACATAATAACACAAATAATAATGAGTAAGTATGTTATTATGCTCTTATTTTGTTGTATATCATACAAATACATTTTCCAATGGTAATATCTGTTACTTTCACCAATGTCCACAAATTTTTTATGTTAAAGATTTTTTTCTTTGTTTATTATCTGATTTTGTTGTAAGCTCTACATCCGGGAGAATGCATACCCTTCCTTAACTATGTGAAGACACATCCGGGAGAATGCATACCCTTCCATAACTATGTGAAGACACATCCGGGAGAATGCATACCCTTCCTTAACTGTGTGAAGACACATCCGGGAGAATACATACCCTTCCGTAACTATGTGAAGACACATCCGGGAGAATACATACCCTTCCGTAACTATGTGAAGACACATCCGGGAGAATGCATACCCTTCCTTAACTGTGTGAAGACACATCCGGGAGAATGCATACCCTTCCATAACTATGTGAAGACACATCCGGGAGAATGCATACCCTTCCTTAACTATGTGAAGACACATCCGGGAGAATGCATACCCTTCCTTAACTATGTGAAGACACATCCGGGAGAATGCATACCCTTCCTTAACTATGTGAAGACACATCCGGGAGAATGCATACCCTTCCTTAACTATGTGAAGACACATCCGGGAGAATGCATACCCTTCCTTAACTGTGTGAAGACACATCCGGGAGAATACATACCCTTCCGTAACTATGTGAAGACACATCCGGGAGAATGCATACCCTTCCTTAACTGTGTGAAGACACATCCAGGAGAATGCATACCCTTCCATAACTATGTGAAGACACATCCGGGAGAATGCATACCCTTCCATAACTATGTGAAGATAAAATTAAATTGGTCAACAAATAAATCAGTCATAACTAGTAGTACTTTAGGACTGAATTTTTTGGGGCTGATTTTCTCACAGATTTCAAACTCTATTTTCCTTGTTTCTTTAGATTGTTTTGAAGATTAGGAACCAGATTAGGGCTTTTTGACTTATATAAAGTATACCCTAAATATATCCCCTAAATCATTATAATTATTATAATTATCCCTATATTTTGTTTTTTTTGGGGGAGGGTATTTTATCCCGACTTCATTTCAAAACATATTGACCTACAATTTGCATATTCGAGTACGAATGCCAAACAATGTTTATTAAAACATACAAGTAAATTAATGAATTAGAACTACTTTATACATTGTCGATATCTTCAACTTCAATTATCTCTAAAACTAGAATTTCAACATTGAGTTAACA